CCATGCTATGGCTTTGTTGCTCTGAGTAGAACTTGAAACTAAATAACTCGACCTTATTCTACTTCGCTCGTACATGGAATTAGTTATGAATACATATTTAATGATAAAAACTGAATTATTGGAATGTTTCTTTGAAACCACTGAGAAAGTACTTATATAGAAAGTTAAAAGATGAAAGGTGACTGCTCGAGTCAAAAAAGGACAAAAAAATTCTAGTCTCCAAGAAGGTAAACGAAGGTTCCAAAAATCTTACTGTCACTTAATGTTCCACAGGAAAAGGTGAATTTATTGTTGGCCTGACAGAGGATCTGGCAACACAAGATCCTCGAGCTGGACAATTCATTGGTCTGATAAGCCATGTTAACATCTTTAACAAAGCCCTTAAAAGCGAGGATATCAAATGGATGTCACACGGCTGTGGTAAAGGCGTTTTGCTTGGGCTTCTCTTACCCTGGTCGCAGTTTATTACTGGTGTTGTTGGAGAAGTGAAAGTCGAAGAACCTGCATTATGCGCAGATCCTGAAGGTGAAGTACGCAGTGCAAGAACCGCGGCCACATACCGTGAACATACTATAGTTAGCAATAATTGAATTCGGCTTTCGTATCATCAGAAGAATTATGGAGATCTCCATAATTCTTCAGATGATAGAAAGCCGAATTCAATATAGCTGCTACAAGAAAAAAAAAAGATTGACGTTCTAATTTTACCAAAACAAAGCCAAGTACGTTCACCTTTGTTGTAGCAATTTAACAAGCAGGTATCCGTGATCCAAGACACGCAAAGCATGTCGTGAGCGTGCTTTTACCCTCAACATCAAAATCCTGTGGAGGGTCACAATGTATGGCGAAAGAGCCCCCAAGGGGGAGCTGTACAATTAAGTATGTAACTAAGTATGTACCTTTGTAATTTTGCTTCACGATTGACGTCATGAGTTCACATATCGCAAAATTCTTTCAAACCGTGGTTGTGATAAATTGTGCTTGGGATTTTAGCCAAAAAATGTTCCCGTGGAAGAGATGAATGTGATAGATGTGAATGAAATAAATTATGTAAGAACTACGGAAATGAAATCAAATGAAGAAAGGTCCTCGCAGTTTTGAAAGCAATGTATTAATTGTCTAAGAAGCCTACAACAGGATTGATTTGTTTCTGGATGTTTTTGTGAGTTTTTTCTTTTAAGGTGCGTGAATGGCGTAACCTCTTGCTTAGTTATGACGTCATGTCAATATTTCTAAACATTTTTTTTTTAATTTCCTTCATCAAAGGATACCGCTTTATGGTGTGCAATAACAACACGGTGCAACCATCTCAAACATCCTTATTTGAGAGTCCACTGTATGAACGATCTTATGAGGGTCACAAAATCTGTATGCGGTTCAGATATCTAATCTACGGCCGTGGGAGACACTTCCTTCGTATTTACCAACAACTGAATTTAACTGACTACCAGAGGAGGCTAATGTGGGCAGTGGACGAATCAAGCAACACTGACTTGATCTGGAAATACGGAAGAGTGGCACTTCCGAGTGTTACAAAATACAAGGTAATGAAAAACAAGTCACCACATAAACTCTTTAGTTTTTATGTTTTGTTTTCCCAATAAACGTCTTAGGGGAATTTGGTACATAAGACACTGAAAATAAG